CCGTTGGGTCACAGGCATCACCAATTTTCTTCAACTGGGTCCCCAGGAAAAAAACTTTGAAAAACACTGCCCTAAACCACCAACTGCTAGAAGCTGAGACTGGACGACAGGGGAAAGATCAGTCAATAATTGCCCTGCTCTGTTCATTCCCTCTGAAGCACCTGGCAGCGGCCACGGCCAGAAGAACGGCTAGCTAGACCATTGTCTGACCCAGTAGGACTGTTTGTATGTTCCCTTGCGGTTCCGGCCATAGGTGCTGCTGTGTAACACAAGGGCCAGGCATGGAATTTGTGAGCTGGCCAGGCGCGCTAGGTTTCATGCTGAGAGTGGAGGAGACCCCAGCAAGGGGGAAAGCACTAAGCCGAGGGGACACAGTGCCCAGCTATGATGTGCAGGATGAGCCCAGTGCAGCAAAAGGGCAGGTGCCCTGGTGAAGTGGGGGCTCCGCTGCCACCACCTCCTGGTGGGCACGTGGCGGGAGGGAGGGATTACAGGGCTGCTCTCAGCCAGGCCCTGCTTCTGCTGGCATTGGAGTCAATGGCCAGGAGCCCAGGCAAGTCAATGAGGCAGATCAGGCGCAGGCCCGCCTAGCCCATTGGCAGCTATTTGAACACTAGACTCCACCCTCGTCCTTTCCCTCAGCCAGTTACAGCTAAGGGGCGAGTCCGGGCTCCATGGTAACCCCTCAGCCAGTCGCACATTAAGGGGCGGGGGGGGGGCTGAGCACCATGGTAACCCATCACCCAATGGAGGGCTGGATCCCATGTGGGCGGTGCTACACACTCAGGAGACAGCCAATGACGGTCAGCGGTTGGCTGTGGGCAGGGCTTCGTGGTGGAGGCATTCCCCAATGGCAGGCCTGGTAGGGGGGGCGGGCGGCCGTTTCTTTGTGGGCTTTGACAATAAAATGGCGGGTGGGGGGAAGGCGGGGCTGGCTAGTGTGCTTGGTCCCGCCCCCTCTCTCAGGCGCGGAGCGGTCGGTGAGGCGGGAGCCGGGCTCGGGTCGGGGAGGAGCGGGAGGCGACGAGGCGGTGAGTAGGCTCGGGCTGAGGGCTCTGCGGGCCCGGGATTAGCCGCCACCGGGGTTTGTCGCTGCCCCGCGGGCAGAGAAATGAGGCGCCGGGTCTGGACGCGGGTAGGCGGGGAAGAGCCCGGGGTGGAGAGCGGATTCAAAATGGCGGCGGATCCCCCTCCCCGGGGTCCTAGGGCAGAGAGGGGCGACGAGCAGCAGCTGCCGCCGCCCAGGGTCTCCTCAGAGCGGGGTAGGTCGCTTTGCGGCGGGGAAGGCGCCCCCCGAGTACTCCGCAGCCTCCGCTCACTGCTTCCCTTTCGCCACCCGGTCTCCCCGCCCCCCTCGCGCCTACTGCCCCGCAGGTCCAGCACACTGGCCCCGACCCACCGTCACCCTGGCCAGCAGCTCCCCACACGCCCCCTGCCCCCCCAGTTCTTAATCCCCGCCGCAGCGCTTTGCTCCTCCCCCACCTCCTTACTCCAGGGCGGTGTTTTCCCCCCTCACGCTCGCATCCTCTGCCAGCACCAGCACATACCGTCTCTGTACTTCTGGGAGAGTGACTCCTGCCACCCCGTGGGGGCTGCACTTTTAGGGGAGTGGGCCACTGCCCTGTCACTGTGGGAGGACCCCTTTGTAACCCCGGGGGGGAATGAAACCCCCCTCCCCACCCCCCACACAGACAGCCATATGCACCTCTGCACTTTTCCTGCCCTGTCAGCACCCCATGCACCTTTTTACTCTTTCCACTACATCTGTATGTTAGGGGGAAGACTAGACTATCCTTTTGTCCCAGCCTCTCATTACCATTATGTACATCCCTGTTCTCCCACATCAGTCACACACAACTCTATATTGCTAGGGGGTGGGTGACCTGGTACTGTCCCCACTGGGGTCCTACGGGTTGCCTTTTCCCGCAACCACACGCTCTACTTGGGTAGTGTCTCAGAAATGGTGTCTGTGCAGTCATTTCTAATTTAGCAAAATCGGGACCTAAATTCTGTGGTAAGGTCACTGTTTCTACAGCAAACTGGAAGCTCTGCACCAGAGTCAAGTAAATTTAAAACATAATTATTTTCATGATTTCAACACATTAATAATACTATTCCTTGAACTACTTCTTTTATATTCAATCCAATATATTTTATGCTATTCTTCACATTTTCAGATGTCCGTATGCTGCGGATTTTTGTTTTGACACATCTGTATTGTAGGAGCTGTCGAAGATTAACCGCAAAATCGAGGGACTCTTGCAGCTTTTGGCACACAGGAAAACAGAACAGTTTGGGCTTTTGGCACTCATGTAGTAGAGTGCTAGGGAAAGGATGTAACTTTTCTTCCCCTTTTTAGACAAGGTTAAAGTTTACTTGAAATTGTTGGGGGCGGGGTACTTGAACTTTTAGCTTCCAAACAGACAACAGTCTTGACTTCATTTGTCACTTGGTCCAACAGCTGTGGACCAAGCACACTTATTGAATTGTTCTGATATAGTGATCAGCAGAGAAACAAGTGTTTACAATTAAATTTATTAGCCCTGGTCTACACTACACAGTTAGGTAGACGTAAGGCAGCTTATGTTGACCTAACTATGTCCATATGCACACTACAGCTTTGCTCCCACTGATGTAAGTGTACTACCACACTGAATAAAACTCCCACTCCACGAGAGGCATAGGGCTTGTGTCAGTGTAGTTAGGATGACCTATAGACACTGCATTACCTATATCAGCCGTTGGCTGTCAGTGTCCACTCCGAACCGGGCTGCCACCCAAGCTCCTGGTTTGGGCTGCTGCCTGGGCTTCTGCCCTGTTCTTCTCCTCTCCCCTCCCCTTGCTCCCGGCAGGAAGCTTGGCTGCACCGAGGCTCCTGGCTCAGAGCCTGGCTGCCGTCACCTGGACTCTTGGTTCCCTGTTGGGAGCATAGCAGCCAACTGGACTTCAAGCTCGGGTCTCCCTGCCAGAGATCAGAAGCCCCAGGCGATTTTTTCCTCTCCTCTTCTCTCTCCCCCCTCCCCCCCCCCCCCAGCCCGAGCTGGGGAGTGGCAAAGCAAGAAGCCCTGGGGCATCTGGCTCTCAGCCCCCCACACTGCCCCTCTTCAGTTAGTGGAAGCACTCCAGGTGAGGAGACACACCACTGTTAGAAGGCGTGTGGTAGTATAAATTGACTTAACTTAAGTTGATTTAAGATTGTAATGTAGATATGTCCTTAGTTTTTAGAGTTAACACCCTTTTGCGATGAATGGCCAGTTCATAACTACTATGGGTTCTGTGCAGGTGCAGGAAAAACAGCAAGATGTGTATATTTTATATTTATTTGCGAGCTTTTAAAAAAAAATCAGAAGGGCTAAAAACTGTTTTTTAAATTAAATTTTAGATTCTGGGGTACAATTGTGTGTCAGTGGGTGGAATCTGCAGTAGGCTTTGCTACCATATAACTATGAAAAATAGGACTCAAGAAGAGGATGCAAAGAGAACCTATTTGTTCTCGTGGGCAAAAATCACATGCAACAGGTCACGTGTATCACTTTCTAGTGTTGGGTGCCTGTTCTTTTCCCAGTGTGTATTACTGAAGTTCCAGTTTAACTGGGCTGAAACCATCTCTATATGGTATCACTTTGTCCTTTAGTTTCTGGACCTGATAATGAATTCTCCCTTCTGTCCTTTTATGGAAAGCTCATGTTCTCTTCAGCAGGCATTCCCATTTCATTCAGTTTTGGCAGGTGAGCGTGACTCTTCTGAAGTAAGGCTTTATTTTCTAGAATGCTCAAATATCCATATAGTAATAGAAAACACTCCTATCTTGGTTACTTATTCTCAAATCTGCAGCATCTTTTAATGTTGCTTGATCTTTACTAAATGTCTTGATTTTGTTTTAAGAGGGTTCAGTCAGATTCAGGCTGCAGATGGTTACCATGTAGTCCAGATGCATTCGGTGACAGATTGTCCTTCGGGTGTACAACTGGTAAAAAGTAGCATTATTGGGAAAATGCCTCTTCTCTCCCTCCCCCCCCCCCCCTTCCTATTTAACTGAGCTGGGGTCACTGAATTCTTATTTATGACAGATGTTTCTAGAAGAAAATTTTGGTTATTTTTGTACTTTACCCTTGAAGCTTTCAGAATTTCAAATGGATTAGCTATTTTTTCCTGATCCAGTAACTCTAGTGCAGACAACATTCATAGTCAATATGTTAAGAGGTCTATCAAACTTTATTTAGCTCCAAATTTGTTTTGAAAGTCTAATTGCTTTTATGAACAAAACACATTTCTCCTACACTATATGCTAGCAAATCTATCCCCTTGCAAGGCAAATTTTAGTCACAACGTTCTCATGGCTGCTGCTATAGGAAAACTCACCTCCTTATTTCACAGCTTACCACTTACATGAAGATTATATAAAGCAAATGTAGGATGGGAGAAGAGTGACAAAATCAGTAATATAGTATACCCTAATTATTCAAGTAGCATGAGGCACGCAGCTTTTATGTGGATAATTGGGAGCTCAGCTAATAGAGAGGGGAGGAGACATGCAGAGGTCGGCTCTTTGCAGTCCTGGCTGAGGGTTTCTGCTCTGCCCCGTTTGCTCCCATGAGAAGTGGGGCTGCAGAGGACTCCCTGCGCTGCCGCAACCAGTGACACCCAATTTTTGCAGGTTTGGGACAGCAGAAATCCCTGGCCAACTCTTTGCTCTGTCCTGCCAAAAATGCAACCTTCTGTGCGCCTGTAGGGATCAAGTGTCACTGGCCCCGTGATGGTGCAGGGAGTCCTGAAGCTCTGCTGTCACAACCCTGCACTCACTCACTTCTGTAACAGCAAGGCTGCAAAGGGCTCCCTGTGCTGCTGCAGGACCATTCAGCAGCAGGGTGCCTTCCCACTGCTTGGGGCTTGTCGTCCTTTTCCTTCTTGCAGTCCTGGCTTGGGGGGGGGGGTATTAACCGAACCGCTGCCTTATCTAAATTCCTTCCTTATCTCCTGGATACAGTGGGGACAAGGAAGGGATTTGGATAATATGGAAGTTTGGATAGTAGGGTTTCCGGTAATGGAAGTATACTGTGTGTTTTTCCTTTTGTTTTACAGAGATTATTTGTCTTTTCTCCCCTCTTATGTAATTTTTATGTATATTTCAATACCCCAAGTAACCGCTAAATATTTAGTTTACTATTTCAATGGCTAAGAGAAGAAAGGAAGAATGGTCCAATGGTTAGGGCGTTAGCCTAGGACTTAGGAGACCCTGGGTTTAAGTCCTTAACCTTCACACAGATTTTCTGTGTGACTTTGGGCAAATCACTCAGCCTCTCTGCTCAAAATCTGTACAATGGGGATAATAGCACTGCCCTGCCTTACAGGTGTGTTATGAGGCTCAGTTCATTAAAGTTTGTGAGGTGCTCAGATAATCAAGTAATGGAGACTATATAAAGTACCTGAAATAGCAACAAGGGATGAAGTTTTGCTGTGTGACTCCTGTAATTGACTGACTTCCTGTCTCCTGTTGCCTGGTAGGTGAAGCTATAACACTTGCTGTATGGAATCTTGTTCTATAGCATGGGAGAAGAGGAAGGACTCCACCAAACACAGTTACTGGTATGTAACTTCTTAAGTGAAACTTTTAAACCAGCTATATTTTGTGCAGTCTCAGAAATTGGGCAACAAGATTCTATATTTATGATGTGGGTTATCAATTTGAAAGTGAATGAATGCAATAGAAACCAGTGGGACTTTCTGGCAAAATCTGAATTTTTTTATCTTGAAGGATTTCATTTAGTTTCATCTCCCCTTGGTACTGTTCCTATATCTGAATTCCCCCACAAAAAGCAGTAAGGTATTGTTGTTTGCTCCACATTCCTTTCCATTCAGTGAGTTTACTTTTCAAATATCAAATGTTTGAAAAACAGTTTATATTCAGAAGGGTCATATATATCCCTTACAATAACATTACAGTTAAAGTAAAAAAACAACGTAGCAAACCAGGAAATGCAGCATTAAGGTGACATTAACCACACAAGCTTGGGGTGAGTAGCCCCAATATGCACTGCTTTCCAGAATTTTCCAGTATCCCACAAGCAAGGGATACTTACCCCAAGAGTGTGTCCGTCCAAATGGACACTTGATTTCTGAGAACCACAATTTTAGCAGGGCAAGTATCTTTATTGTGTGTGGCATTTTAAAGTGAGGTGCCCACAGAACCATAGTATCAGCAGTGTAATATATTAATGATCTGAAAGAGGGGTGAACACTCGGGTGATCTGCTTTTTTTAGAGGGATAGCTGTGTTAGTCTGGATCTGTAAAAAGTATCAAAGTGGGTATTCACCCACGAAAGCTTATGCTCTAATATGTCTTGTTAGTCTATAAGGTGCCACAGGACTCTTTGATACTTTTTTAGTGAGCATTTAGAAGCCCTTTAACCTGCCATTCTGTTCCCTAGTTTAAAGTCAATGTAGACAAATGCAGCCTAACATCTTGGAAGGAACAATTTACCTTGTCATATGTTGGATTTTGGGTTAACCAACCACACAGGAAAAAGACATCTGCTTGGTGCACAGTAGCAGTCAGAAACCTAAAATGAGAGATTAGGGTGTGTTGAGGGAAGTAGAGAAAAATACTGAAAGTCATGGGGGAAGCTAGTACATTTTCATCTTGAATAACTTGTTTAGGTTTGGTTACCCCCTCCAAAAGAAACAAAACAAAAAAAAAAACTGGGTCAGACCAATGGTTCATCTAGCTCAGTATCCTGTCTCTGACTGTGGCCAATGCCAGATGTTTCAGAGGTATGAAAATAATAGGTTAATTTTGAGTGATCCATCCAGTCACAAAGTCTCAGTTTCTGGCAGTCATGTATAGAATAGTAAACTGTGTAGTGAACATCATGTGTGCACTTTGAATCAAGGGGCACCCATTGAAATTCAAGGCCAATTTAATTTTTTCTTTTTTTAAACACCTAACAAATTACCTTGTGCACTCACTACTAAGATATGGTCAATATCAGTAAAATTCAGAGAACATTTGTATGCTTATCAGACCAGTATCTGCAGTTAGACTAGATAGTTAACACACACACATTTCAGAAGATAGATCAATCACTGACTGGCTGCCTGTAGTTTGAAACAGGCTTTCCTGTGTAGGTATGTTGCTGTAAAATTGTCCATTGTGTTTTACACATCCCTCTGAAGCATCTTGTACCAGATACATCATTGCTAGCATCTGGTATGATCATTCTTATGTCTTCAAGTGATTAGAATTCTTTCTGAAATGAAAGATTCTAAAGTGTTGTGTTGTGGTTTTTTTTTAATAGTTTAATTTCTGCAGTGTCTAAGTTATTAGGCCCCTGGATTGTGCTAAAGAGTCTCATTTTTTCTCAACAGGACACAATGTTTGTGCGAGGATTGAAGAGAAAATGTTTTGATGGTGAAGAAGATATTGAAGGAACTCTGGCTGGTTTTAAGGCTATTCCTTCATATAATCTTCAGCGACAGTCACTTTTAGATATGTCTTTGGTCAAACTTCAATTATGCCACATGCTCGTTGAACCTAATCTTTGTCGTTCGGTACTTATAGCCAATACGGTGCGGCAAATCCAAGAGGAAATGACCCAGGATGGGACTTGGCAGATGATAAATACACAGAGTGCAGGACAGACTTCTCTAGATCGTCTAGTTTCAACAGATATCCTTTGCCGTTCATCCAAGGAACAAGCTGAAGGAAAACTTGTTCCAGTTTATAGTACCTTCGCTAAAGACTGTGAGGGTACCCAGTCACAAGATAATTCGGAAATTATGTCAACAGTTACATCACCACAAGTTCCAAGAAACCTGCAAAGTAACATGTGGGAAATGGAGAACCCACAAGAAAATAGAGGAAACTTTCAAAAATCATTAGATCAAATATTTGAGACGTTAGAGAATAAAAGTCCTAATACAGTTGAAGATCTGTTTTCAGAAGTTGACAATTCTTACTATGACCTAGATACAGTATTAACAGGAATGATGAGCAACACAAAAATGGGACACTGTGATCTCGAAACATTTCCTTCTCAGACATCTGCAAATTCTAACTCTAACTGTAAATCTGATCTTAATGAGCTTGATCATATTGTGGAGATCCTTGTTGAATCTTGAAACTGTTAAACATGCAGAAGACAAAGATTCTTCAAGGAAACAGAGGACTTGTGGAAACAAATTTTAAGATAGTTTATTCTATCAAAACTGCACATGTATTTTATAAAAAAAATATAAAGCACTTCATATTGCAAAATGTTAATTTTTGAAGTTAACATGCAATTTGTAGTGTCACTCTGTTTTGTCCATTTAACTGTAAATACATACTGTAAATGGTTTTAAGTTAGGGTTCAAGGCTTTCAGAATTGGGCTTTTTTGCAAACTTTTCTAGCCTTTGAAGGGAGTGTATGTTCAGTGAGAGGGTTTCTGTCTTTTGTTTTCCTTCCCCTCCATCCCTCCCCCCCCACCCCCCCCACCCCCACTAAAAGAGGCAGCAGTTATAGAGAGAGATCCTGATTCTGGATCAACACTTCATTCCTAC